CACCAATGGTTGTATACTGGGGCTTATCTTGGGACGTAGATTGGGGCTAGGCTGAGACGAGCTGAGACTCTGCCGCTTTCGGCCTAGAGGCCCTAATTTCGGAGTATCAGACTTCTTGGGCACCGGTCCGCTAGGGGAGGGCATGGCCAAAGAACGGGGGCTGGGCGCGATAGAATTGGAAGGCCTGTTGACCACTGGGGCAGACTTGGGCTCCATGGCAGGGGTAGCGCTTCCTGGCGTAGTAGTTGAAGAGGTCGAGTCCGCCCGTACCGTGGTGTCAATGCGGCTCACTGGAGGTCTCGAGACTGATCCATATGAGGTAGCTGATTCTGGAAGGACAACATCTTCCATAATATCGTCATGTGGCTCAGAGGGAGCAGGCCTGGACACAGTTGCCATCGGACCAGTAGAGGCGTTGCTGTGTGGGGACCGTTGGATGCGCATCAGCAAAGCCGGGGTTGCGGGTTCATTGGCTTGCGACACCTGAGTAGTCTGGGGGGCAATCGCGGGAGACTTGCGGGACGGAGGAAGAGCAGGTGGCGGCATCAATGGTTCAGATAGAGGCTCTGGAGAGACGGAATCCTGCCCAGAGCTCTCGTTACTCCCGTAGCGGAGACCACTACCACCGGAGCTGCGCGATTTGCTACTTCCCTGGTCCTGGCTTAGACTATTCAAGACCTCATCCGAGTTGATGTTCAAAAGTGACTTTTTCCGTGCCTGGGGCCGAACTGAAGGCGATTGTTGCTTTTTAGCGCGAGCGGAGAAGGACTTGGTGTTTGAAGGCTGGCGCCGATGTTTCCGCATCAGACCCGGCGAGGAGGGGGCTGACGACATTGGGAGTGCATTATCGGCTGGGGAGGGCACGAATCCCATTTCAGAGATTTGGCCGGTGTGGAAGGGGTAACCAGTGGGATTGGAAGTGTGAGCTTCGAGAGCCGGCGAGGTGAGAGGGGTGAAGTACTCTCCAGGGATGGTGTATTCAGGGAAGCGGAATTGACTTTCCAATGGGGTCATGGCAGGTGAGACCAGGGGGGTGTAAAGGGCCTGCGAAGAGCGGGTGCATGCATTAGATCATGCAGGCTAAACTCCAGATCTTGAATGAACCATGCTTACCTGTTCGTCATTCATTCGAGTGAACCGCTCGTACATCTCATGACCGTCATCAGTCCGGTGTGAGTGCGTAGCGGCACTACCCTGGAGCTCGATACTGTTAGGGGTGGGTGGTATCACAGTCTGACCATGAGGAACGTAAGCCTGTGTCGTCGGGTGCGAGTGGTGGGACATCTGGTGTGACTGTTCCTGCATCGGTTGGTGCTGCTGTTGAGGGTGGAAGTACTGGGGCTGCGGGGGCTTGTGCGCGTAGAATGCCGGGGTGACTGGGGCATTCGAGTATGACGAGGGATGCGGCTGGACCTGCTGCCCATGGTTGGAGAGGTCGAGAGAGAAATCATTGTTCATGAGGTGGGCGTACGACGGCGACTGGGTGGTAACATTATCGGTATCCATGCGGACCAATTGCTCCTGCGCAGGTGCTGTTGTGGCGGGCATGGAGATGGAGGCCGGGTGGGCAAGAGGCCGGGAAGCGTGAGGGTCACTTGGCCCATGCCCCTCCACATCGGGGAACTGCATGCCAAACTCGAGGAAGTTGGAGAATTCATCATCGCCCGGGTTGGTCATATCTGACCAGGCCAGAGGATTCTCTTGCTCCATGACGAGGAATGCCGCCTTCCGAATAGTAACAACAGGTTCAGAGGAGGAGAATGGAAGACAAGACGCTGGAGATGACCGATCGGAAGTGGGATTTTAGGGTGCGGGCGAAGTGAGGGCCAATCGTGCCGGAGAAAAGGGAAGGCAAAGTCAAAAGCAAACCCGGTAGGCTAGGAACGAATGATTTTCGGGACCGCGGCGCAAAAGAGAGGAAGGGAATAACAGGGCGGGAGAGCAAAAAGCTCAACAAGAATTGCTGGGCATGGCGAGAGCGGTGACGATAGTAAAGAAGAAGAGGAGGCGATGGTGATGATGGTAGGTAATGGTAAGGCTCAAGCCCAAGTAGACGTAGTATGAGGGAAGTACGAAGGAGAAGAGGTAGTAGAGAGAGAGAAGAAAGGAAACGGTAGAGGAAGCAGAAGGAGAGGGTACCGGCGGTGGTGGAGGGGGCCACGGAAGGAAGACAGAGAGCACAGGCAGGATACAGAACAAAATTAATTGAGAGGCTAGACTCAAGAGAGTAAGTGAAAATCAAGAGATTGATCCTGCCGTAGTCGAGAATTTATTTTTTAATTTGTTGATAATATAGCGAGAACAGCAGAAATGGGTGTACCATCCATTCAAGCCATGGTGGAAGGTTAATTAGCGGACAGAGGGCGGGGGGGCAACAGCGGCGCAGGAGAATCGTAAAGAGTGGACTTTTAGTTAGTTCATGGTGAGTAAGTAGTAAGTGAGTCGATTACCGGGGGGGAGGGTGGAATAATTGTGGATAGTCCTCGGAGTCCCTAAAACGCTAAAGGTTAAGTTCGACGGCTTTTACAGACACAATCTGGTCTGGAGGTGCCAGTCCGGAGAAGAGGAGAGGACGGAGGAGACGAGGAGAAAGAGGATCCCCGGCAGTGCAGCTTTCGACCGGAGAATTGGAAAGGAAATGAATGAAGGGACTAGACCAACTTGGGTCGGTCTTGCCTAGGCAAGTAGGTATGGTCGCTCTGGTACCTTGGTATTGTATCACCATAACCAATCCGTTACTAGTGGAATCTTCATCTGTCCAATGATACTAGAATTATTGCTTGTCTTCCATTGGGTCTGCAGAGGCCATCTTTGCCCGTTTGGGACAAGCCCCATCACCGAGCCTGAGTTGATGACAATCAGCTGGATTCGATCTAGCGCTTGGTCTGCCAGCCTGTCTCTGTCTTAGGGTACCTGGGAGTAAAAACGGGAAAAAGTACACACCGAATCCCAAGGGTTGCTTGGTAGACCCAAACCAAGAAATAACCCATGCTTGTTCCTTCGGGTCGTTCAGCTGAAAAGGAAAGCCGCCTCGAGGCTCTCGGCTGGTAAATCCAGGTATGGGAGCAATTACTACTACTGAGCACAGCCCTCCGCACAATTAAATCTTGTTATACGCACCCACAATTCCCCAACGATATAAATTGTCGGCGTGGGATATTTGCGCACATATCACGGCCGGTCAATAAACATCTAAATTATTGTGTGGAGCTTCGTGCTGCGGATAATAACGGTCCGGATCTAGAGAACAGTAGATACTGCCTAGGTTAGTAGTGCTTGTGTAGATATTGACTTTTAGCAGTTGTCCTGTGTGGCAGGTTTCCTGCAGCGTGTAGTGAATCTCCTGCTCTTCGTCTACGCCTCCATTCTTCTTCCATGCAATCGTAGCAATTTGTTTGTGACGATATAGCACGAATAAAAACAACAATAGCAGGGACAGATCATGGCCACGGCCCAGAATCTCTGCAGGGGTGGGAATGTGACAAATCAGCTCTTAAGAAGACAGCCTGTCTCTCCCAGCTCTGCCATCCCGGCCCCCCCCCAACACAAAGTACTTCACTAGTTACTACAGCAGATGGTCTACTACGTACTCTGGTAGTGTGAGTGGGTAACATTACTGGGCCCCACCTAATGGCGACAGAGGCAGGGGTCAGAATGGAGCCCTTCGGAGAGGGTAACTTTAAGCTAAACTAACAGCACGATTTGACTCCTTCAACGACTGGCTGCCGGGTTGATTCTTCCCTGCCTTTCAACTTTGCTTCTTTTTAGTGGTTGGGATTGGTCACGGCCTAGTAGAAGTAGTACTATTGTGTGCAGGTACTAAGTATAATATCCGCCTAGTAAGCCGGTCACAACCAGTTTCTTTCAAATCCAGGAGAATATGGCCTGAGCTCTGCATGCTCATCTATAGCTGAGGAACTTAAGTCAAGGTCATCGCTTCGGCTCCATGAACTGATCGATGATCATGATTTCAAATGCTGAAGAATATGGGAAAGAATGACCACCCATGCTCGTATGATGACCCTAATTACTTGAGGTCCATGCAAGCCTTTCGGAAGGCACTGGCATGAACAGCGCCCCGGATGTTCCCGTATCGTTTTCTTTTCCTCTTTTTGGGCTTGTTACATTGCTCCCCTGCCCCTGGAACACACCAACGCTAAACCACCCTTTTATTCTCTCTCGATACAGGCAGATGTCACGGACAAATCTAGTACCTTCATATACCCCCGAGTGGGTACTTAAGTTACTGAGTGGGTAGATATCTTTCTATTTAGTTCGCCGTCTCGAGCTGCCGAGGAATGTTCACATTATCACTTACCTTTTACGGAGTCCAGCAGCAGGATGAAGCTGGATCGATTCCCAACTGGCCTCCGCGGGCTTCTTGCGAACGAAGCTACTAGACATAGCTTCTGCCACTTTAAGCACCCTAGTCGGTCAACAGGACTAGCAGGAAGCGGGTGGGCGTCCGGGCTGCCGCCTAAGACCACGCAAGTCTGGCCAGTAGTGCGCCGGCTCGATATTACGTCGTCGAATCATGAAATCATGGTCTGACAACCTTTAGCGAGCTGTTGGCCATGCTCGGTTCACCTAGCGGTTTCGCAGGGTGGCGTTGAACTAAGTAAGGCTAGGCTAGCCTGCAGCCGAAGCATCTAGCAATCTCTAGGTGCAGATTTGAAGCTAGTGCAAGCCGATGCGGAAATCTTTTGAAACATTTGGCGACATTAATCTCAGCTAACGAGTTAATTAGTCGTATCTGTTATTTCACCCCATTAGCTAGTTTGGTGGAAATACCATACTCGAATCCCTGTCAAATAAGTAACACCTAGGCAGGAATCAACTGATGGTGCAACAAAGGGGCCTGGATTGCCTGTTACTGTGTGGATTTCATGGAAAGACTAGTGGAAAGAGAGGCTACCATGTTCTCCGTAATGGCATCGAGAAAAAGAGAGGGAGGAGCGGGCTATTTGTTTCTTTCTTGCTACTTAGCTTCGCCCTTAGCTCACCATCAATCAGACACGGGCAAGCTAGTGCCATTGAAGGGCGTTGCTCACGCGATCAACTTGGCGGTGGATGACGTTTAAGTTCTCACAGCTGGTTCAATTTGAAAGTGGGATCAGATCAGCCATGACCACGAGGGTATGGAGGCACTGGATCATCGCGATTGGAGGGTGTTGGGAAGGCGAAGCGTCTATTGTTGCTGCCGTGTGCGGGATGTGTACGGAGGATCTATCGATAAAATACCGGCTCCTTCGCACCAAAGAGGGTCGGCAAATCCGATTCAGGTCATGGCTCGCAAATCCCGACATACTTGAGATAGTGTTTTAAGTATGTCCGTTAACCTTTTGGTTATAACCTAAGAGGCGTCCAATAAATATTTTCTCCTCTTATTCTTTGATACGGTACTATTTGTTGGTATCAATATCAGCCAAAAAAAAAAAAAAAAAAAACAATGTAAACTGGACAGTAATTATATTAATTCTATTCATTATTTGTATGTACTCGGATAATTTGCGACGCCGTTCTTCGGAATAGTTTCCGACAGCCCCGAGGACTAGTAGTTGGACTAAGCCAAGCTACAAGTTAACTCTCTCGGCAGTGGACAGAGCGGGTATACATCTCTACATCTACATCTACATCCTTACTATTCTCCCTACCTTTACACCCAAAAATATAATTATATTGCCTATCTAAATAGTAACTGTATATAACTGTAATAACTGTGACTACTAAGTTCATGCCGGCATTGCATGGCTTAACTAATCAGGGTGCGGGGTAATCCTCAGATGCTCCATCACGTGGCAATCACCCAATGCCTGATGATGACATAAACGCAGACCAAAACCGACCAGGCATCGATCGAACGTCGTTCCTTCGAGATGGAATGCGTGTCTTCCTGTTTCGTCAACTACAATCACGGACTGCTTATTATTCGATGTCTGGCCACCGCAAGGTCTCTATTGAGTTGTCGCTGTAACTTCTGCTTCTTTTCTCCACCATGAGACCTCCAGTGCCAGATGTTGCGCTGCCTCGATCTCGCAAGGCCTCCATCGAGCAGCAGTGGATCGACCCCCGCAGTGCCGCCCCCGCGACCTTCTTTCTGTCCCGCAATCACGGTCTCGACCACGATGATGACCTCTCCTCAGATGAGCCCGATGCATCCAGGACGAGTATGTATGGCGTACAGAGCCTTGAAGAAAGTATCCTTCAGACTAGTCAACCCGCGTCCGTGTCCCAGTCAGACCAGATAGTCGGTAGTAATCCTGCCGGAGTGGAACCGATTTCCACAGCATCTCAATCTCTCAACCGCGACGATAAGGAGGACGATGACGACCAGGGTTCCGGCCTCAACCGCCGCAGGTCAACGCTCAAGCCTATTGATACTCTTCATTCCAACAGACTTGACGCCTCTATTACCTCCGACCTGATCTCTCCCCGGCCCTTCACCCCCTTGAATCTCAGCAACCCGGACGACCCTTCATCTCTCCCTAGCAGTCCCAAATCTACTTCGAACCAATCTATGCGCCATCTAGATGAGATCTCTATCACAGATGATTTGAGTAGTCAGGCGGTTGCCTCCGGAGACGAGGACAATGATTCTCGATCTGTCCACAACCCAGACCACGATAGCACATCCCAGTTCATCATGCCAAGCATCAAGATGCCTAGTCGGAGACCGTTCACATCTCGTGGGAAGTCACTTGGAAGGTTTAAAATACTCGTTGCGGGCGATTCTGGTGAGCCCTTTTTGTCTTCAATCTTGTAGTGTCTGTGATCCTGCAATATGCGTGCTGACCGATGCTCCAGGCTCTGGGAAATCATCCCTCATTAGGTCGATCGTCCAGGCTTGCGAAGACATTGTACATGTAGACGACTTTCCACCCACCGATGCCTTGACACCGTCACGGACTTCTCTTACGACGATACAACTTTCTCAAGCCCATCGACTACCGTTGTCAGCTACATCAGAAATCTACGCCAGCACCAAGCCCTACCCATCTTGGTGGTCAGATTTGGAAGATTCACGCGTGCTGCGCCGTAGGAGAAGTACAGGTGATGTGGTCTTAGAGCGAAATATCTGCTTCGTTGATACACCTGCAACCTCGCTGAGTCGCATCGGACAAGTGGATGCCATCATACAATACATACGTCAACAACTATCCCGCGCAACAACAGCTATTGATTCCTGCGATCACGACTTCCAAAATTTGCTCGCAGGGCAGGGTGGCACCCAAGTTGATGCCGTACTTTATCTCGTTTCTGGTGGTATGTAGTCCGAGCTTTTGGATAGTTCACACCCGTTGATGATACGAGCTCACCTTGCATCAGATACCTTTGCGGCAGACATGGAATGCATCAACACGCTATGCGAATGGACCAATGTCATTCCTCTAATATCCAAGGCTGACTTGTTGGCTCCTGAGCAGATCTCTGCAATTAAGTCGGGGTTCCACAAGCATACACAAGCCACTCCGGCCAAGCCCTTCCTTTTTGGAAACGCAGGTCTTGGAGCAGATGAATTTGACGGACAATTGCCTTTTGCGGTATCATCGGCAAAAACCAATGATGACGATGTTATGGATGCCAGTACTTTGATGAGCCCTGACTATGTCCAACCCCTGGTGCCCTCTGAATTGACCTTGCTGGTCCAGAGGTTGTTCGACGCCGAGAATATGACTTGGATGCGGCACTCAGCTGCAAAGAAACTAGCCCAACAGCAACGAGCGCATCTCTGGCAACGCCCGAATCGCCCCCAACCTAGTACACAACCATTTTCCCATGGCTCAAGCCGGGGTTCTCCCAGCTACACTATGGCTCGGATAGCAGATCACACGCGACAGGAGGAGAAAATGGCCCGTTTGCAGTTGGCAAAGTGGGCATCTGAGTTGCAACAAAGCCTTAAAAACGAACGCGAGAGATACGCTGCCATGGCCAGGGGTGAGCGTGCCGTCTGGCTCACAGAACGGTTAGGCGAGTGCGTAGTCGACGGGTCTTTGGTCCCCATTACACAAACGCCAGGCTTTTGCGGACTCCGTGCTCCTTTGGAGAAAGCAAGCGGGGGCAGTCTACTTGTTCGAGCACAAAGTGGGCAGAATGTGGAATATCACCTTGCCCGAATTCGCCCGCAAGACCCTCTGGGGCTTGTTTGGTTGTCCGAGGACCTTAAGCGGCGGGGCTGGGCCATTGTTCAGATTGTGGGCTCTTTTGGAGTTGTCGGGGGGCTGGCTCTTTGGCTTGCCAAAGCATGGGGGCTATCCTCGCGCAGTCTGTCTGAATGGCACTTTGACTGGTGCGGATCGACTGATTGAGTGAATCAGCCTTACTCATTAGGGTGGGCACTTTCTTCTTGTATCCCCCTACTCTCCCTTTCTACTCTACTATTTCCCATGATCCCCTCTTCAATCATCTACAAGAGCGGCGAGAACACATAAGTTCTTGGGGCAACAGGCGTCAACTGGATTGACTCGCATGCAAGCAAACCCTGGCGTTACCACAGACAAGTTTCTACTTTCCACCTATTCCCTCTCTCTCTCTCTCTCTCGTTTCTCCACCCCATTCCACCCACCCTTACTCCTTTCTGGCGTTTCCCATTGCATACAACTTCCCCTCAGGTCACATTTAATGAAGATATGTGCACAATGTACTCATGAACCACAACACAAGTCCCCGGGGAGGCCAGGTGTCCAACCCTTCTATCCGTGTACCTCCCTTGATCGAATTCCCTCTAGGTAGCTTACAGTCAATCGACTCGTAATATGGACAAACCGGGAAGTTTCCATTTTTCCAAGAATTGCAGAAGTAGACACACATACATAACCCTTAAGTACTATTTACTAGTAACCTAGCCGGATCAACTCCAACAAGAAAATCACTCACAGCTTGTGCATGTACCCAATACTCACTGTGTAGTATGTATGGATGGCTGACTACTACTACTACTCAGTAACTATACTAAAGAATACTACTACCATCACTGAACTACTAGGCAACTAATAGTACTTACTGTTCGTGTAGTACTGTCGATATATACCAACTAACTAACTAACCGAATAGCAATTTTGGTGAAAGTCGACAGACAGCATATTGACCTGACCTTGACTGGACTGACGTTCTCCTGGTTCATGGTGCTGCTCATATATGTATGCTATAGATAACTGTAGCGAGCATAAGAGCATCACCTAGGGATTAAACAATGAAGATGACCAGTGAGTTCACGTAGTGGTTGAATTGTTTAAATCAATCACTTACGTCAATAGGTAGATATATAGTGGAAGAAGTTATCCGGAATCAATCCATATACAGAGATGGATGTTACTGCTATATTATACTACGACCTATGTTGAGAGCATCAAGTTGAACAGAGAAAGCTTTTATTCTCGAGATAAATCTACCGTACTAATACCACAAGCGGATCAGACGGAATGTATTTAGGTTGGGGGTAATAAACGCTCAAAACGCCGAAAAAAAAAGGTAGAATTCGTGATTCAGTAATAAAAAAAGAAAAAAGGATCAAAGGAAAACCATCCTTTGCCGTTCCGATTAATAACGCAATATCGTTCAGTGAATATTAGATCCCTGATGCAAATACCGCTGGAACAGTTTCCGGGTCATCAATAAAATCAGTTACATCTCATTTCCATTTTGCTCGAAAAGAAGATCGTGACATCATGCGGTCAACATTTAGTCAACCTCCTCCATGGAGCTCTCGGCAGCAGCGGCGGCAGGGGCAGCCTCCTCAGCAGCCTTCTCCTCGGTGGTCTCAGCCTCCTCGTCGATGTTCAGACCAAGGGAGACGAGCTTGTGGATACGCTCAGCGAAGCTGGCGGGCTCCTCAATGGTGAAACCGGAGACCAGGAGAGAGGTCTCGAAGAGCAGCTGAGTGATGGACTTGACGGTGCGGTCACCCTCGCCATCGGCCTCAACCTTCTTGCGGAGCTCCTTGATGATAGAGGACTTGGGAGAGATCTCGAAAGTCTTCTTGGAGGACATGTAAGAGCTCATGGAGGTGTCACGGAGGGCCTGGGCCTTCATGATACGCTCCATGTTAGCGGACCAACCGAACTGGCCGGTACGGATGGCGCAAGGAGAGCCAACGAGCTTGTGGGAGACAACGACCTTCTCGACCTTGTCGCCGAGGATGTTCTTGAGGCTCTTGGCAAGACCCTCGAACTCCTTCTCCTCCTTCTCGCGCTCGGCCTTCTCCTCCTCGGACTCCTCAAGCTCGAAGTCCTTGGTGATGTCGACCAGCTTCTTGCCGTCGAACTCCTTCAGCTGAGTGAAAGCGTACTCGTCAATGGGGTCAACCAGGAACAGAACCTCGAAGTTCTTCTGCTTGAGGCTGTCGAGGAAGGGAGACTTGGCAACAGCCTTGATGGACTCGCCGGTGATGTAGTAGATCTGCTTCTGGTGCTCGGGCATACGGGTGACGTAGTCGGCAAGGGAA